CCTGCTGAAATTCTGAGGGGCCTTGCATGCTATGAGCATGTAGCATTTTTATAGCCACCTGCGTATGACGCAATAGACCTTTATAAATGCTTCCATATCCTCCTTCTCCAATCTTCAGGGATGGATTAAAGTTATCAGTTGCTTCTTCAATTTCTGAGCACGAGAACTCAGAGAAGAACTGAGGCATTTGTGTGCTAGTGTCCTCTCCTTGTTTTCTCCTCAACTCCTCAGCTTCTCTAAGTGCATTATCACGCTCCATCTGAAACTCCTCCCGTTCTTTTTTGTAACTCTGTAGTAGGTCAACAGCAGAAATAATCTTCTGCTCCAAGTTCTTTACCATCTTATCAGACTCTGCAATTTGATTCTCCAGTGATGTTTTTTGACTTTGAGCAGCCCGAAGTTCTTCCATGACTTCATCTCGTTGTTTCTTCATCTTATTGAGTTCTTCTCTCTCTCTTCTTAGTGCTTCCTCGGTATCTTTCCTATGTTTCAACTCCTCGGCATACAAGATCTCTGACTCTTTGGCCTGTAAATGCAGTTATTCACAAGTGAGATTTCCTTTCTTTCTCAAGCTTTAGAAGTTTATACTTGCAGGCATTACATGCAACAAAAATGATAATTGAAGATAGCTGACTTCGAAAGCTTTAAGACAATGAACCTAGGCCCTACTCAATAAGTCATATCAGTAAGATATACTGGCAAAAAAGCATCCGGAGATAGGATTACGATGTAGAAATTATGATAGCTAAGCATTAAGGTCCGTAATATGGCCCCAGTTCTGCAGGGATCGTCATCAACTATCTTAAACAGTAGTTCTCGCTTAAGATGCCTAGGGCAAGCATTATGTGCGAAGAAAGGTTAAGTTAGAGATGAATGTTAAATAAGAAAACTCCACATTGAAAGTAGTCAAAGAAATCTCAAATAGACACAAATTTACCCTGCGTATTGCATTAATAGCATCTTTTTCAGCTTTCCCACGCCTGACTGCTTCCTGAAATGCTTCTCTCTTTGCATTTTCAGCCTCAGCTAATGATTGTTCAAGATGATCATAAAGAGTATCATCTATACTTCCTTCCTGGAAGATACCATAAATGTTTAGAAACTACCAGAAATTGTTTCGTTACTGAATTGGACTCGGATAATCAGAGTCCGATAGAAAATAACAAGCTTCTCCTAAAACCTGAAATCCAAACTAAACCTTACCAATACACTTGGAGGGGATGAATGATTAATATCCTCTTTGGAATGAGTAAGAGCACTTATTTCTGATCCAGTCTCGCTCCCTTCATTTCTTGCAAATGGAACCAAAGCTACATCAAGCATTGGAGTGGAAGAGCATGTTGAATAACCTGAACCTGGAGATGGGCTTCCCCTTGGTAATCCATACCACTCATCATAACTCCCTACTGAATCCGTTCTGTTTCTAGGAGTTGAAAGCCCTTCAGTACCATCTAGAGAAGAAACATCAGTCATAGTCCCTCCAGATTTCTCAATATTCGCAGATCTTACCCTGCGGAATAATTCTTGAGCTGGACTCGTGAGTGCGGGCCGACTGTTCTGCCTGAGATTTACAGATTGTGATCTCAAGTGGTTTATTTGTCCAGTTTCAGTGTTTGGGCTTGGTTGTACAGATAAAGATCTGAACTCGATATCATCTCCACTCCTGTATTGTTATGGATTGCATTAGTGATCAGGGTCAAAATAAAAGTGTACCAAAGATTAATCTTTCCAGCAACTATTTACAGTAGATTCCCTGATACATTATAGATCAACAATTGTAATTTTGTTTATCGATTCACATCATTGTAGAGATTAAGAGATCAAATAATAAGAAACCTGGTATGGATAAGGTGCCCCTTGCAAGTAAAATTTATGTGACAGGAACCAGGTGCTTGTTCGCGCACAAAAATGGCCTTCTTCGACTTGAGATCCATCACTTTCCTGCATTGCTAAGCTAGTTGTAAGTAACCATTACATGAAGGTGCATGCACACTTTTCCATTCAATGAAGCAAAGAGACAAATCAGCAGATTTCTTAACATACACGAGTAACGCTTACACTATAACAGACATTGCTTGATATCAGATAAAGGAAAGTCTTAAATCACAGACAAACAAAAAAGGAACAAGATTGAAAAAAAAAAAAGAAAAGATTATATATTTCACAGGCAAGGGAGAAAAAGAAAAAAAAATCAAAGGTTGTGGCAACTCACAGTCTTTCATTGAGGGGAAAAAAAGTCAAAACACTTTTCATCTTTGTAGGAAAGTTAGCTAACCATTTAATTGACAAATTGTTTGATGCATCGAGAAAGCATAGCGGAGGGCATTAAACAGTTTATATGAAACAGGATATTGACAAGATGGCAGGTGTATAAGAAGCATTGTACCTCGAATAATACTTGTCTGCTGCTGCTCCCATGACAAGCTTCCTAATATTGTGCTGGGAGATGAGTTCAATAATTCCTTTTTCAATACAATCCTTCTCGATAAACAGTTTCTCTGCCTGTACCTACATTTGCATAATTTGTAATGATCAGTTGACATTGCAATTTAGCATTACACATAACTGAAACAAAATATATAACTCCATATTATATTACTTGGAAAAACTAGTAAGTTATCTTGTTTTTAGAAAAGAAACATTCCAAAAAGAAAAAAACAATTCAGATGCAGACACCAAGAAGCAAACACCAACAAAAATATTACCCCCATCCGACGACAAAGAAGAAGATATTCATCTAAAATCTTATTCATGTTTTGTCTTTCAATTTCTCGGTAAGCTCTGACTTCCTGATCCTTCAGTGAGCTTGCTGGAAACCTTGTCCCCACTACAAAAAGAAAAGAGTTGAACATTAAAGACATCATTTGACAATAACAAACGACAATATGGTCACTGCAAGTACAAACAACTTATCCAACTTGGGTAAATCTAGGGCCTGATCTTTTCGTAGGTATAAGCAGAAATCCAAATTTTGTGAAAGAAAACACTTTAGCAAAAAAGTTGGAATTGTGGTTCAAACTCATGAAAAGAAAGGATGTCTAAATAGCTGATCTCAGAATATTCACTATATGCTGAGCTTGAAATCCCAGGCCAACCAAAAGAATATTGGATCAATTAGCTATCCTGACTTTCGAAATAGTATAGTAAATTTGGCTAATCTTATCTCCTTCTCTTCATCAAGTTTGAACTCAATCTAATTCATGGGTCAGTTCAGCTTTCTCAGTTTATCAACACAAAAACCAAATTTCACTACCACAACCAAGTTAGTCAACGGCAGTCCAATAAACCTCTCGAATCCAATCTTAACAACTTACCAAGCATTCAATGATCATTAATCATTACTGATTAAGCTTAAACCCAAAACCTTGTACATGAAAACACTAATCAAAGTACAGACATGCCTATACAAACAAACAAACAAACAACCAATTTAACAAATATTGCTATAAGGATACAAGTTTGCAAGACTTACGGAGGGGTATCATTTGGGCAGGCACATGAACATGAAGAATGCAAATCTTCTTCCCTCCAGAGTTCTGAAGAGCCCATACCAGAGTCGATTTGCTCTCTTTCACATCTTTCCCGATAGCAACATATATTGTATTTTCGACCAATCGCTCCGTGGGCTCTTCCACAATCTCCCCGCCACTGCCAGCCATGAGTCCCGAAATGTCGTGATACGTAATCCGGCCGATGTGTTGCGTAACTGCAGGCACAGAACTCACCAAGGCCATGTCCAAAAGAGCTATTTCCAAAGGCCAAAACTTCTCACCATTAAGAAAAATTATCCTTCTCTCTCTCTCTCTCTCTCTCTCTCTCTCTAAACCCAAATTCTCATTCCCACGGATAATTGAAACAAAACTGGAGCAATTTTCCCAATTCGGATAAGAAACCTAAACAAGTATACAATCAAAAGTCAACTCTCTCTCTCTCTCTCTCTGTGGAAATCGGAGAAACAAACAAACAGGCAAACGAAATTTTCTCTCTCTAGACCTCAAAATTCAGTGAATTCAACGAATACAAACCTCAGTCTCCATCAGTCTCTATTTTTCTCTTTCCAAAAATCTCTTTTAGAAAGAAAATTTGAGATCAGAAAGGAAAAGGAAAGTGCGGAAAACAACGGAAAGATTGAAACAAAGAAGTTTTTGAGGTCTCGCTGAATATGACTGGGTCTAAAAGAGAAAGATTGTCTTGAGTTCTCAATATATAATATATATATATATATGTATATGTATATTACACAGGAAACTCCAAGAAGTTACTTAAACAAATCCATGGCGGGCTCCATGCCTCCGGTCCACTCTCTCTCTCTCTCTCTCTCTCTGCCTGCTCCGACCGAGAGTTTAGGTTCCTTCGAAGGGAAGGTTCTCAGAATGAGTGTGGGCTCCACTGGATAAATATGAACAAAAATTAAAGACTACTAGTCTTGGAGAAGAACTAGCATGAGGACAGCCTCATGCACTTGTTCCTGCGCTCTCTTCTAATTATTCCATTTGTGCCTTGGACTTTATATTTACTCTCATTTTGCTCCCTCAATCTTTAAGAACTACTACCACTAGTCACTACTACTATAAATTTTAAGGGTATATTTATTTAATATACTCAAATTTAAATCATTAATTTTGTTACAATATTTTTTTCTTATAAAAAATTTAAATTTCAAACGTCAGAATTAAAAATCATGATTTAAGTATACATTCCAAACACATTCTAAATTAATCTCACTTTTTGTTAAAATTTACATGACAAAATAAACTAAAAAAAAAAAAAAAACCCACGTCAGATAAATAGGTTTACAATATGGTGGTTTGAATTTTTAGTTAATCGAGGGATTTTTTGTTTGAGAAAATTTTAAAATTTATTTTCTTGTAATAGAAGAATTTTAACACTTATATCATGTCCTAAAGCTCCGCAAATAGCACCAGTCTACGTATAAATAATGATCAAAATTCAAGTTTTCTTTTTGTATAACATTGGAGATTGTTTATGATCATATTACTATTAATCTATATTTGGTCTCTCTGTTTGGATATATTCGGTATTATCGTCTTATGAGAACTCTAACATGGTGAGTTAAGTCTTAAATGAGACCACTCTAAAGTTTTTTCTAAAATGAGAATCTTAAACGAGACCACTCCAAAGCTTTTACTAAAATGAGAATTTTCAAAAATATAGAAGCAAAAAGAGAATGTGTGTAAAACTTTGAAGACACAAATAGAAATAAGCCTTTTATTTTTTTATTTTTTTATGGTTGTGTGTATCATTTGCTTATAGAGTCGTTGGATTTTGTTGGGGGAAGCGAATAAATAATGACATAAGCCTACCGATACATGTGTAATTATTTCTCTAGTGAGTATTCATGGAAAAAATATATATCTTTTTCTTTATTTGTAAAGACATATCACATATTGGTGCACTTTGTGCGTATGAGGAAACCAACCAAAAATACTACTCGTTAATTCTTAGATAGAAAAAACAAATAAATATTATACTTTGTTCAAAATATATTTAATTGCACATTACTTTGTCAGGAAACACATTAATAAACTTAGATGTTTGAAAACTAAAATATCATAAATTAAAAACAATGTAGAAATCACAGGTATATTAAGAAATTATAGAAATGTCGAAATTAACAATAAAAGGGAACATATAAAAGTGGAAACTAACTAATAATTGAAACATGGATTAAGCAAAAATTAATAGATAAAAAAATTTGACTTTCTAAATCAAAGTATTACCAAAATAAATTTTTTTAAATTAGAGCAGTTACTAATTTAATTGAAAGTCTTAGGGCCAATTTAGCATTGTTGTGCTGTTAAAATTTTATGTTGTTGTGCTGTTAGTCAGAAGTTGTTGTGACCAGAAACATGTAGTGTTTAGTAATTTTTTTTCAAAGTTGTTGTGAATACCATAGCAGAAATTTAAATGTTTGGTAAACTATACACAAAATTATTGTAAAGATGTACAATGACTAAAATGGACATATTTTAACACACATACTTATACTTAGCTTTATTTCTATAAAGATAGTCAATGTTCATAATATTTATAAACCAAAATACTAAAAAAATATAATTTCATTTTATTAATTAAATATCTCTAAAAAATAAATTAATTTTATTCAAAGAGATAAATTATATATCTATAAAGAAATTAAATAACGTAAAGAACTAAATGGTAAATTATTTTTCAAACTTGCAACATTATAATAAAAATATATTATTAAAATGTAGCATAAGATATTTATTAAAAAAATTAATTTTCAAATAAACATTTAAAATAAAATATATTCTTTAATTTGATTTGGAAGAAATAAAATGAGTTGGTTGAGAATTTAGTTTTTTATTAGGGTCATTTTAGTAAATTGGGACAATGACAACAGAAGCTGTTGTGGAAAAGTAACTTCCTGACCTGCTTCTCAAATTTTTTTGGGGGAAGCAATTTTTAAAAGCTGTTGGACAAAAATAGGTTTTACCAAACACCTTATTGTAGCTTCTTAAAAAAGTTAAAAACAACCTCCAAAAGTAATGTCAACGGACTCTTAAACTATGAATTTTTAGTTTCTTTTCCTTTGTTGAAAATTGGATTTTCTAACGCCATCTTTTTTATTCCAGCATAGAATATTTGCAACTTTTTTTATGGAAAACTATTTTCCAGATTTGTTAAATTATATCAATTTCATATCAAAATTAAATAGGATCTGAATTATTTTAATAAAGAGAAAGAAAATTCTCTTAATTTAATAGATAAAAAAATTTGACAGCTCAACAAATTTAGTTTTAATGGAATTTTTTTTTTGGTATACAACAGTCAACATAATTTTTCTATAAAACACACATATATGATATATAAAAGAGACACAACAATTATGAAGAGTTTCTATTATTTTGTTTTAAAGTTACAATTAAGATTTGTTAATAAAATACAAAACAAACATATTACGCATAATAAACCATTAACCTATAATTTTTCTCTCCTCTCTCTACGGCTGAACTAGGATTTGCTGGTAAATTTGGGTTTCTTTAGGTTGCCTGGTTGCCGTACTTCCAGCCGTAGAGATGGAAATCTAGGTTTCCTAGGAGAGTTGTCGGGTGTTTGGCTCAGTTTTGTAGCCGTTGGGGCTGAGTTGTGACGTGTTGAAAGGGGATGGATGTCAGACTTTCGTCTGTTTATATGTGGCGTTTTGACAGCCATGTTTCCTTAGGGGTTCTTCTCTCTCAACGTGACAGATCTGGGGATGGGGGGAGTTGGAGTTTTTCTTGGCAGCGGCTGTCGTGTTGCGGTTGTCCTCAGGGGTCGGGTGTGCGTGGTGCCATTGGTGTCTCAACTGCTCGGGACTTTTGGTCCTCTTAGTGGTGTGCCTCCTATGGTGGTGCATGTCTCGGGTTGGCAGTAGGCGATGTTGGTGCGTGGTGCTCTCCCCTAAAGTCTTCTCTCTTCTATGGCGCTATTTCATCTATGTGATTCTATCCTCTCTGGTCTTGATGGTTGTGATGGTTGGCTCGTAATTGGTAGTGCTCTCCACAGAGCCGGGGTTTCTTTTTTCCGGTTTTTATTTATAATGCATGTTTTTCTTTAATAAGGGTGATCTTGTTGTTCACCATATATTCAGTTGTTTTTGTACTTTCAATTTGTAACAAGGGAGGTGGTTTTCCCTCACTCTGAGTTTGTCTTTGTCTTGCTAGATCAATGTCTTGGCAATTAGTTAGTTGGCCTTCGTACTATACAGTTGTGGCTCTAGATCGATTGAAGGCATTCATCAATTGTAGATGTATTTTCAGAAAGAGCCTTATGCGAGCTCGATTGCAAGTGGGCCAAGGAATTTCTCATTACTGGGTCTCGGTGTATGTCTTCCTCTTTGAGTGTAATTCGATTATACTTGTGGAAACGGTCTCAGTTGAGAGTCGTATCTCGTGTATTGCAGGGTCATTTGTGTTGTTATTGGTATTTGTATATCCTTTTTAGTGTAAATACAATTCCATTTTTTTTAAAAAGAAATATTTTATAATACTATGTATATTAGTTGGAACCACGAGCGTAAACTTTATAAATAAGAATGAAAAATATATTTATTAGTATCATTTGAAGGAAAAAAAAAGAAGAATATATTATAAGTTAAAAAAGATAAGAACGAAAAAAGAGAGAAAGATAAGAAAAAGAAAAGAGACGGAAAAAAGGAAGGAAAGTTTTTTTTTTTTTTTAAAGACAACAACGTTTTATCATGGTAATATGATTTAAAGAAAAAACTAGATAGGGATATGTATGAGAATAAATTATTTCAAGTAAGTATTAGAGAGGAAAAATTATGTTTACGAGGGTCAACTTAGAGAAAGAAAAAAATGTATATTAGGGTAAAAAAGATTAGAAGAACAAATGGAGAAGACAAAAAAAAAAGAGGGAGAAAAGTAGAGAAAAGAAAAAAAAGGTGAAACTTTTTATGGAAACGTTTTTGGGGTTTAGGTCAAAAAAATTATTTTTTTCGTTAAATTTTTTTTCTTGCTGAATATCAAAAAACTTATCTACTCTTAGGGCATGTATAGTTCACTGATTCGAGTCGAGATGTGACTTTATATGAAAGTTTTTTACTGTAATAAAAAAATTAAATGTGAATATTTTTTAGAGCTTTTTACTATAATAAAACTCGAATCGGTAAATTAAACAAGGTATTAGTAGATACTGATTCGAGTCGAGATGTGACTTTATATGAAAGTTTTTTACTGTAATAAAAAAATTAAATGTGAATATTTTTTAGAGCCTTTTACTATAATAAAACTCGAATCGGTAAATTAAACAAGGTATTAGTAGATGTTGTACAGATAATTATAAACCATCTCTCCTCAACAAAATATAAAACATGAAATTTTATTAAATTTCTTTATATTTATACAACTCTTTTTTATACTTTGATTAATCTGATGTTGAGAAATAGATTGAAATTAATGCAAATCAAAATGGAGCCATTACAGATCCCATGCCAAATAAGTTTCCAAATTGAGGAGAAAGTTATTGAGAGTTCACGAGAAGCACGTGTGAGGTTTCTACTTTCCAACATAAACCAAAATTAAAAAAATTTCAAGTTAAAAAAAAAAAAAAAAAAAAAAAAAAAAAAAAAAAAATTTTTTTTCAACATGAAGGGGTCAGAAGGGAAAAAAAAAAAAAAAAAAAGCAAAATGAAAAATGTTATGTCAACATGTACGGGTCAGCAGTGGGCCACCACAGGCTTGCGTCATTCGCATATTCCCCGTGGCCGATTCTGGATACTCTTCTTGTAACTGTCGCATGGGATTTGTCCACGTCATCATAGGAATCAAGCGCTAAAGGTCAAGGCATTTTACCGGTAATCACCCACGTGGCGTTT